TATGACATCTTAAGAAGCACTTGATGGTTTCAAAATAATTGCATATTTCAAGATTTCTAGAATGAGTATGTAATTCTTTCACAATGAAAATTGATTAATCTCTTTGAGATGATCTTCTTCTACTTCGCCACCCTCTCAACACCCCCAGTCCTGCATCCACATACACTTCTCCTTTCGAAGAAAGTCAAAACAAATGCACTTTATCAATCAAGTAAATTGCCTGTCTCCATGGCATCCCGTGAGCAAGGAATTAAACATTGGGAACCCAGGTGGATTAAGGCCTCCAGAAAATCTGCTTGATCACCAGAATGCTATTGATTTTTTAAAACTGAATTAAATACTTTTAGAGTCCAAACTCCCTAGTGTGTCATCGTTCCCATTAACTCTCTCATAATGTTAAGCAATTGCATTATCTTTCTGTCCCCTAAAAGCATTCGAGCACGCCACGGGGCTTATAACTTGGCTACACAGCCTCTGAATTCTTAAGAAATTCTATTGCAAGTGACATGACCAGATCTGGGGCTTTTTGAAGTATTTGACTATCACTATACCTGACCATTTAGTTAGAAAATTGCTTCTCACCTGCCGGAAGACCTTTTAGCAATCATTGAATGATTGAATAAGCATCTACTTATTCAAAAAAAAACATTGTACTAGGCAGGGAGACAGGATCTGGGGAAACTGCAATGAATAGGACGGACCCTGCCTCCAAGAAGCTCAAGGTCAGACAGATGCTCAAGGAAACATATGCTAATAAAACAATGTGACAACATGGTTTTAGAAATACCTAGAAGAATAATACAGGGAACAGAGTGCCAAAAAAGACTTCTCACAGAGGAATTTGTTTGGATCTTTAGCAAAGATCCAACAATGAAGGCCCTCCAGGGCTGAGATGCGGGAAGATGGGGAGGACACGTTGTAGATGGGAGTTTTGCAGCATGTCCAAAGGCCCAAGAAAAAGAAGGGTAGCATGTGATTTGAGGAACTGTGGACACTTCTGTTAGTGATACATGCGATGCTCAAAACAGTTATGTGAACAGAATATCCCAAAGGAGGGGGGCACATACTCACACACTTCAAAAGATGCCACTCTACCCACGACCACAGGAAAGAGTGTCTCTTCCTATAATTAAAGGTATACACCTATAGCCAACTCTGAACATTCTGCCAGATATTAAGTGTCTAATGTATTAATAATTTCTAATATAAATGTTAGATTTCTTATCATACAGTCACACTCCTCGATTGGAAAACTCTCAATTTAATAAACATTTCTTTATTCTCATATCCTTTCTAAAGGGAAGACACTTTTACATTCTTGAGTGAAAAAAAAACTGAGGTCTCAAGAGTTTAATACAATCCCTGGAGGCATATATTTTATATGCATATAGACACATAAAATGCTGAAAGAATAAGCTCTAACACATTAATAGAAGATGAAAAAAATCACGTGTTTCTTCCTATGTTCTTTTTTCTTTGGCTTATCTCTTTAACAAAAAGTCTTGACAATGAATACTTCTGATTTGTGCATTTTCTAAAACCTCAGTTATATCCTCACGATATACTATCCTTGCCGGAAACTCACAATCGGGGAATCCCGCAGGGGTCCATGGCCAGGCCCAGTGGGCTCCCCTTGCTCAGTCCTTTTTTTGCTGACAACTGGCACCAGGGACTCAGCCTGCTCTCCTATCCCTAGGAGCTGTCACTACTTACTTTCTCCTTTCTGTTTCTTCTACCACTAACTGCACAACTGACTACAAATGAGATGAAGGGCCAGAATCCCTTTGTGGTCTTAAGGATTTTACTATTAATCAATAAGGGAGAAAGAAGGAGGCAGGAGATCACAAGCATGACAAGTACAGGGAAGGAATGACTTTTGCATAAACTTCCCAATTGTGTACAGTTGAGGCCAGACATTAGCACATCCCTGAAACTGGAAGAAGCACTGGGTAGGGGCCCATGGAAGGTCCTGAACCACTGACAGCTGTGAAGTTATTCCAAGAAGTCCAGGAATCAGAGGTGTGTTACAAAGACCATTGCTAGAATAAATTAATCTAGCTGTATATATACATTTTCAAGCATATGTAGACGGTCTTAAAAACCAAACTCATAACATCTAACACTTCTTTCTCATTATTTCCCAATCGAAAGACACAAAAACTATCACTCTCCAATCAGTATCTGCATGATCATTTGATGTTCAAGCGTCTCCATGTTCAAAGAGGCTGAGAACAACAGTGTAGAGGAATGAGCACAGGTCTCAAGAGGGTTACAGAACAGGGTATACACATGGTAGCTTCTTCAAAGAACCGAGTAAATTTCAGCATGTTTCTTAAATTCTCTGAGCCTCAGTCTGTACATCCAAAAGTGAGGATATAACAGTTACATGAACCTTCTCTTTAGGGAAACTTAACTGAACTCAGTCTCTCAAATGACCATAAGTTCCCCCTTGTTCCTCACCTTAAGTCCACCAAGAAAACAGAACAGCCAATGTTAACAAGCCTTTCAACCTCCAAATGAAAGTTCAGTTTACCAGGCCACTGGCCAGCCCTGACACAGTTGCCTCTTGGCATTACCTCCTACCCACAGAAACATAAAACAATGTATGTGTAAAACAAATTCTCCCTATTATTTCTTTTTTGAGTAGTAACATGTGAGGTCAACCTTTGCCCTTAGAACAAAGTGTAACTTGTTCTTAGAAAGTATGAGAAAGAGAAAATGGTTTATTAAGTTTTATCTACAACCTGAATTGAAAATGATCCTTTAAATATGTTCTCAATGGTTTAAATGAAATGATAGTTAAATATAATTCAAGATAATCATATACTATTTCTCCTTAAGATTCCCACCTCCTTTAACCATAAAGTCAGTCTAGTTTATTGAAAATGACACTATTGCTAGACTATTATAAGTTAATAAGCACTTTCAATCAAAACAGCAGGATTTTTTTTAAATTTTTAAATGCCCAATTAACATGCCACAATGAGAAATACAGAATAAATATCAGATTCTAATGTAGTTAATGAAAACAATGCATTTTTATCTTCAGGGGAAAAAAATGTCTTCTCTGCCATTCGCTATAAATACTAAAAGACTACCATTAAAGGAATTATTAGCATTATTATACTAAAACAAATTTTTATATATCATTTTGTAGAACAAGCTTTTGGGGAGATTTGGGGGAGACAAAGAAATTACAGGAACAGTCTGTTAAAGTCTTCTTTAGTAGATACACAAGTCCCAGGTATTTGAATCTGAGACAAAAGAAAATACTATCCCTTAATAAGATTACATAGAAAAGGAAACATCTCTTACTTTAAGAGCAACCAAGGTGCTTGCTCCTACAGTGAAAACTGAGGTTATTTTAATTAGTTTATTATTTATCCCAAACCCCACCCCCACCCCTGCCACCTTGCTCCTGGAGGCTTCCATACCTTCTTCACAACTTGCTATGTTAACACCAGTTCAATAATTTGCTGATACAGAATTTTACTGCAGCATTTAACAGATCTCAGAGATTAAGTGTATGGCTCACTCCCTCATTGTACAAGTAAGTAAACTGAGCCCAAAAGAACCCAAGCATCTTATTGAAAATAAGCTAGTTAGTTGAAAAACCTACCCAGAGCATTCCCCAAGCCACACCTCTCACTGGGTGAACAGCAGTAACTGTTACACTGCTCAAGCAGCTATCTACCTGATTGCGTGGAGAATGTTTTCAATGGGACGCATGGCATATTTTAACTGTTAAAATAATCCAAAAGGATATTAGTCATACACCAACCTCCTCTGGATAGTAAGTGTAGGAGCAGCATTAATTTAGCTGAATCTCCTTGAAATTATTCTTTTTATTCACAACTACAGTGATAGTACCACAATAAATTAAGAAGTACTGTAATTTCATCCTCTCCCAGTAAGTACATGTTATGTGTGTTATGTTCTCAACTAGTAAATCAAATCAATATGCCAGTCCTGAGGCTTAGGCTATACATATGGGAAATGCGATAACCGTTTTAATTAAAGCTTTTTTGAGACACAGATTGCAGCACGGATCCTAAGCATTTTAAAGATTCACATTAATTCCAATCTTTTAAAAAATGTATTTACAGAGGAAAGCTTCTTCTGCAATTTATATGTTCATAAATGTTTCCATTAAGCTAAGCAATATTTTGGAATGTGGTCAAATGATATTGAATGTCAAGTCCTAACAGCAAGGCTAAATCTCTTGACATTTCCCATATGTGGCCACTGCCCTTTTAAACAAATGTCCCCAAAGGGTTAAAAGGGAGAAAATCCTAACTTAACAAGTGAAGACTGCAAGATGTGTTTTAAAAGCTACCTTTCATTTTAACTCTACCTCCTAAATACAAAATTGGATTTGGACTTCTTTCACACTGTTAACAATTTAGTATTAATATATGCATCTGTCATACCTCCCCCTCAAGAGAGAAGTTATACACTCCAGCTACATATAACTTCCAAATTCTTTCCAAAACTAAGTGTAGAAAACCAAAATACCGCTCCTTAAAAAAAAAGTATGGAGAACGGGCAGACTGCGTATTTATGTCAACCTTCAGAAAACATGGAAACACGCAGCCCCAACTCACCAAGAAAATTATTACTTGTGTTGAAACTACTTTGCGACACCTTTTATGTTTTATGCATTTCACTTCATACCCAGGATTCCAGTTCTTCACCTGCTTGGAGCCGTCAACCCCCAAATCTCTCAAGAGCGAGCTGCTACTACGGTATAACAGCTTTAATACGAACAGTGCAAGCGTTCTGCTCATTGCCTGTGGCGTGATCTTAGAAACCCTCGAATCAAACATATCTATGTTCCCTCTTATTTAAAACGGGGGGACCTCCAGCCTGGGATGTGGCTAAAGGACAGCAACAAGAGAAAAAAAAAAAAAAAAAAAAAAACCCAAACACGGAACATGCTAAGAACAAAGGAAACACAAGCCTGTCAACAGGAAATGAAGCCACTCTATACATACAAATACCTTTTGGGGCCGCCAACGTAGGTGAAAGTAAAGGTGGAGTCTGAGTATCTGAAATCTGAAACGGAAAAGTCCTGTTAAAAGCTACCCCTCGAGTGGGTTTTTAACCTTGGTCATGACTTGGGCCCCCTATTTAGTGGAGCCAAGAGAAGGCCTGGCGGGGAGGGAGGTGTGGGCTGGAGAACCCGGAGGTCCCCTCTCCGCGCCATGCAGGAGGGGATGCTGCGCACCCCCGGCCGGGTGCGGCGGGAGGCCACCCCCCGCAACAAGTGCCAGGTGCCATGGCAACGGCGGGAATTTCCCGGTCTGGGAGGCCGGAAGCGGCCCCCGCCGAGCTCGCGGCTGAGAAAGCAAAATCCGATCCTTCTCCCGGGGGAGCAAAATGGACGAAAGGCGACCCCCCAGGCAGGGGAGCAGGGCGTCTCGGGAACCCCGGGAATCCCTTCTTTTTCCGGGGCAACGCATTGTCAGTCGGAGGGGACTAACGGGAGCTGAAGGCGCGGAGATCCGGCCAGCGCTGCCCCCCGGGGGCCTCGGCGCCGGGCGCAGCGGGCCAGCGCAGCGTAGCGCAGCGCAGCGGGCTCCATTCCCGGCCGCCGCCGCTCAGCCCATTGCGCAAACCCGCGGGTCCTCCCCGCCCGGCTCGGCCACCGCCACTGAAAGCCGGGAGGCGGACTGGGGCGCTCCGGGTATCCAGAGCGGGTTAAAAAAGACCACGCACGGCACCTCCGCCTAGACCCCCGCTGGGGCCACAGTGGTTCAGCCCCCAGAGCTGGTAGCCGCCCCAGACTGAAGGGGGGGCGCCCCCTCCCCCTTTTAGCTCCAGCTCCCGCTGCAGCAGCTGTTGCCAAACGAACCCCGGAATGGGGACGTGCAACCCACCCCCAGCCCGAACCACACACGTCGCGGTCAGAGAGCTGGGAAGGGGGACGGCGGGCGGAAGCTGGCGCTGGGTCCGAGGCTCCGGAAAGGCGAGAACTCACCTGCAAACAGGCAGTCCTTCTCGGCTCTGGACTTCTGGATCACGACGTCGATATCCTTCTGAATTCGCTCTTGCCTTGAACACATCCCCATTAAATAAATCCCTGGAAAAGAAGCAGCCGCTATTTCCACCCCACCCCACCCCCCTCGCACGCTTCCAGCTTTCGTAAATATTCAGTTAAAAATGAAACCTCTGGCCGAGGCAGGGGCTGGAGGCGAAGTGGTTTCGGAAGTGATCCTGGGTGAAAGAGGAGGAGGTGGTGGAGGAGGAGGAGGAGGGGGAGGTCGGCTTTGCATTCCCAGATGTGACCGCCCAGCTGCTGCTCGCCACTGCTGGATTCCAATTTCCTCCCCTCCTGACAATGGATGGTGATGACACCGAGTCTCACTTTCTCCCTCCCCCGCCCGGACCAACGGCCGTGGGGGGCCGAGGGTGCTGGAGACGGCGGGAGAGCGATCACCGGCGGGGCGGCGGGCGCCGGCGAGGGGCGAGCCCCGCTCCGCCTCACGCGCGCACACCCCTCGCGGCCCGCACGCCGGCCTTCCACACCCGCGCACACTCGCGCCCGCGGGCGGCGGCGGCCGTGCCGAGGCTGCTGCAGCGCCGCCCGCCGCAGACCCTCCCGCGCCCAGTCACCGGGTCCCGGCCGCCGGGGTGTGAATAGTATCCGCCATCCCGGGCACAGGCTGGGTGTCCCCGCCCCGGCCGCCGCTCGCGCCGGCAGCTGAGTGGGAATGCAGGTAGTGAAGACTCCCCGGGGCTCCCAGCCCGCCCCCCCGCCCACCACTTTTATGAATTCGACTCTACTTTCGGAAGGGATTATGAGTCATATGGAAAACCCAAACCGGAGCGGCTGGGAGGGGGGAAGAGGGAAAAGAAAAATCTTTAGAAATTGAAAATAAATATAACGAGCAAATCTTTCCTTGTTGCCACATCAGGCTAGATGGAAAAAAGCCTTGACATGACTCCAGACAGACGCCCCCCCCCCCTCCCGTGCCCCCTCACCTCCAGAATCTTTTTCTTCCAGGTGGGGAGGTAGTTCAGTCTCTTTGGGACACCCTTTAGGAAATGCAGCCCCTTTCTAGGGACTTTCTCTACTTCCAAAGACTCACCAGTTCTTCCCTCCTAGGTATTTCCGTCCATAAAAAATTGGCAGAATCAGTGAGCACGTGCCAGGGTCTCCCTAGAAAATGGATATCTGTTTGGCTTGTTTTAAGAAGCCGCCCCTTTGCCAGTCAGTCAAGGGAAAGCTCCTACCATCCTGCTGTCCTTTTCAGAAGTGAGAGAGCGCTCTGATCCTCACTTCCTGTTCTGCCTTAGGACACCTCAGGGCTGAGGTCGCCGTCCTGCCTCTATACTGCCATATGCCCTAGGACAGGCATCCAAAAGCACTTTTCTTGTTTTTTCCCTCCACTGAGAAGGCTGCCCTGAGCAGACTGTGCGTGTCTCCTCTAGTTCTGCATTCCCAGTGCCTGGTGCAGTGCCTGAAAAATAGGAGGCAGGCCTGAATGCTGGCTGGATGCAGAACTGGTGGCGCCTTGCAGCTTCATTTCTGTGCGGCTACCACAGTCTTAGACAACTTCCTTATCAGCAGAAGTACCCAAGAGTGGCCAGACTGGCTCAGACCCTGAATCAGCCCAGTCTGGATTCTGATATGGGCAACCCACTGGTGTGTAGGAGACTTAGAAATGACTGTCATCCCTGACGGGGTCTTAAGATTCCATAGAGATAAATGCAATGAGAAATCATATGTCCCAACCCCTCTGGCTTGCAGAAAAGAAAACATGAAATCATTTGTCCTACAGCCTTGAACACAACACATTCACTGTGAATTTTAAGAAGAAACACTCCTCCAAATTAAGAAGACCACTGCTGTCTTTGATCTGAAAGTCACAATACAGTACGTTTTCTGTTCAGAACTTCTGAAACTTCCCTAGGGTAGGGCCAAGGTGTGTAGTCCTCTTGGCAACCAAAAACACTTACTTCTGTTCCACGTAGCCAGAAGTATCATGTGTATTTCCCTCCAGCCCTCTGTGCTCTAACTTCTCTAAAATGCTTAAAATCCAACAACTTCCCCCAAATTATTTGATGGTTGTCTCTCTATCCAGGAACCTTGCATTCTCAAAGTAGAACCCTTACTACAAATAATTTGAAATAGTTTTTAAACCTACCTGATGTATTTCTTCTGGATCACCTCTTGGTTTACTACTCCCTTCATAAAATAGGCCGTATTGTGATTTGTCCTATATTTGGCTTTTTTTTTTTTTTCCCAAACTTCACAGGTTGCCCTGTTTTTGTTAAACAAAACTGACCTCACTCCGTTCATGCCCTTAAGGTGTGATATATTTAAATATTTTTAAATGTTAAGGAATAACATTAAAAACAAACAAACAAACAAAAAAACTTTCTATTTAGTATGCATTTTTGCAAGATAAGTTCCTCTAACAGAAACTGTACCCAGGCATCAGTGTCCCATGCTAGATCCTTAGGCATGATTCTTTCAAATTCAGCCCACAGGCAGTGTCTCATTTACGTTACCTCTTACTTAAGCATTTAGATTGGTGATTAAAAACTATATGGACGTTTGAGATGAGGAAGTTATATCCCTGCCTTAAACACTCCTGTGCGTACACACACAATCACATGAATTCAGAAACACAGCACATAGTAAGCCTTTAATCCGTTTGTTAAAGAAACAAAAATCATTCACAGTAAGAGAGAACTCTAGTAGTATGCTATAGGAAATTCAAGATAGTAAGTAATCAATACATTGTATGATTGGGTCTAGTCAAAAAAAGTCCCACCAGTTTAGAAAAATGATCCCAAGCCAACAAAAAAAATTTATTGGAGGAAAAATGTAAATTCTTCACCTCTGCTGAAAGCCCCAGCTGCAGAAGTAGAAGGTAATGGAAATGTGGCAATAAGTTCAATTATTAATAACTCACACGTGTCCAGAGCTTATTAGAGCGGCCTGATATTGCTGCAAATGCTTTGCATATATTATCTCATTTCATATTCATAATAATCCTTTATGGTAGCTGTTACTGTAATTCTTCGCATTTTACAAAAGAGGAAACTGAGGCACAAAGGGAATAATTAACTTACCTCAAGTGCGATGTCGACTGCAATGATTATTTTCCTCTCCCCAAAACTTTCAGCAGAACTTCGAGGAAACTGAACTGAACTTTGTGGAAAATGGATGTTCAGAAGTCTCACTTCAGAGCAAACCGGCCTCACCCATGGCAGCGGGCCAGGAGTTAAGCCAACAAGAAGCCCTATAATGGATTCTGAAGCAGGCCTGGAACCTATGGGCTCTTAAAATAGCTTCTCCTGGTGGCAGCGAACTTTCCCTTTCCTGCATTGAACTTCCTTTCTCAAATGAATCTGAGTCCTTGGGAAAGTCTTAAGAAAAGGAAAAGCCTGATCTCTCTTATTCCTTGGGAATTAAGAAAAGAGGGCAGGAGGCAGGATTTGCAAAGAAAACACCCACTCTCCCAACTGTGTGATGCCATCCTCGATAGCAAAACCCCATGGGAATGCCCAGCAGCTTTGGTCAGCTGTGGAACCAGCCCTGTAACAATTTGCTCTTGAGGTAGAATCAGAGTGGACGAGGAAGAGCGTGAGCCTGAGGGACTACCATGGGAAGAGATCACCAAGAGAATTTCAGCCAAGGGTGAGGATGTGGGATTTTATCTGAAAGAAATGGGAAGCCACCGGCAGGAAGGTGATCTCAAAATTCTTTTCGACAGTTAGATTTCTAAGAACTTCTTGTGGTGGCTTTGTAATGGAAAGAGATCGATAAAGTTCAAAATGCTTGCTAGACCCAACGGACCCCTCCTAAATGAAGTGGGTTTGGGCAATTCTTTCGGCTTGTGGTATTGCTTTGGGAGAAATGAATCCTGCCACCCTGACTTCCTTTGGTAGGTCTAGCAATCAAAGTATGAGCAAAACAAAGTCACCCTTGAATAAACTTGACAAAGCGGAAGACAATTTTAGGTGGTTTGGTGTGAAAGTCGTCGCAATCTGGTCCTTAGCCTATCTCCTAACAAAGTCAAATGGAGCAGTGCATTGGTCATACTGAAGATTTCATGCACTTTCTAGCAACCTTAAGACACTTAGTATTGAAGCTATAACATGAAACCCGAACTGCTCTTTTTAGCTCCAGGCTTTTCTTCAATTTAGTAACATTTGTCTCTCAATAAACTTTAATTCTCATTTCTACCAAGAAGCATCCTTGGGTCACCTGGGTGGCTCAGTCAGTTAAGCATCAGCCTTTGGTTCACATCATGATCTCAGGGTCCTGGGATCAAGCCTCACATTGGGCTCCCTGCTCAGCGGGGAGTCTGCTTCTCCCTCTGCCCCTCCTCCCACTCATTCTCTTAATCTCTCCCTGGAAGGAGGGAAAGAAGGAAGGAAGGGAGGAAGGAAGGAAGGAGCATCCTTGACTCTGGTTAGATGCCTTATCATCCCATGCAAACAAACTCATACTTCTCAACTTGTACTCACTTGTTAATTCTACTTCATTTTGAATACCTCTTCTTTTGTTTATTTTTAAAAATGCGTAAATACTGCATGAATATATTCTCAATGCAAACTATATAAAGCATATATTAATACAGAGAGTAAAATCTGAAAATTCCTATCCCTAAATCCATTCCTGACCCCAAAGATAATCAGTGTTAATAGTTATGAGAGAATCCTTCCATTCTGGCATTTAAATATCCACATATGTATGTTCATAGATCTATACATATACATCTTAATTTAAAAGGAACCATATAATATATGTTGTTTTGCAACTTGACTTCTCCACTGTCTTGGAGAACTATCTCTGGCAGTGCAGAGATCTAGCTCATTCCTTTTAGCTACTGCAGAGAATTTTATTGAATGGACTCACCATAATACATGTTAACCATGCCTCTGCAGTCAGGATGGGGTTTTCCAAATATTTTGTGATTAAAACAACTTGCAATAAATGCACATCTTTATGCACAATTTCAGACGAGATCGGGCGCGTTCAGGGTGGTATGGCCGTAGACTTTATGCACAATTTCAGAAGTTTCTTTGGATAGATTGGTCGAAGTGGACTGACTGGATGACAGGGAACTGGTTATTTAAAATTGTGGTAGGTATAAGCAAATTGCTCTCAAAAATACCTCATTTTATACTCCACCTAATTCTCTGCATCATTCCCACTAATATGTACTGTAAATCTTTAAATCTTTTTCAGTTGGTTAGATGAAAAATATTTATCTTGCTTTTATTTGTATCTCCCTGATTATTAGTGAGATTGGGCATTTTTTTCAAGTGTTTGTTGGCAATTGAGTATACAAGTATAATTGAGTATGATTGCCTGTCATATCCTTTCTCTATATTCTCATTGGGGTTTTCTGACTTTTTAGTATTGATTCATAAGAAATCTTTATATATTCTAGATTATGATGCCTTTTCTGTTATAGATGCTCTTAGTTAGACAAAAGTTTTAAATTTCCATTTATTAAATAAAATAAAAATAAACAATTTAAAATTAACTCCTTCAGACCAAATACTACCTTCCTCAAAAAAATCTTTCCTGATTTCTCCAGCTCACTAACATTTCTTCTTCCCTGGCTTCTCCTTTTCTAGACTGTAAGTTCCTTGTGGGCAGGAGCTGGTTTTATTCATCTTAGTACACACAATAGAAATTATTTTAGTATGATCCACAGTAGGTAGTTTAAGAATAATTGTTGGCTTGGCAAGAAATCTTAATTACTGTCTTTTATTGCTGTTGTTTTAAATTCCTTGAAATTTTGAGTGCCCCTGTAGTTCTTTGTTTCCACTGTTCCTAAATATCCTTTGGCATACTGAGTGTTGAGTATACTGGTGGTACTCAAAAATACACATTGATTAATTGATTTCATTTTGTTATGCTCTTTGACATTTCATGCTGTCATCACAAAAGAGAAACATTTCCTTAAGAGTGTTCCATTGGATATTAATTTCATATAATATAATGATATTTCCCTCCAAAATTGTTCCAGATTCAAATAAATTTGGGAAAATGGGATTAAATAAAGGTAATATGCTTTTATCTAATTAATTTGAGGCCTTACTATGCCTAACTAAAAGGGATATGTGGAATTTCCAAAAAGATTTAGATGACTAAACATGTGGGGGTTTTGTTGGTTGGATGGGTTTTTGGCAGTGTATTGTGTTTCATTTTAATAATTTTAATTTAATAATTTCAATTTAATAATTTTAATAACATATATGTTTTAATTCAGGTTAAAAAGTTCCATTATATATTCATTTTCTTCTTTGTGATATCAGTTGTGAA